GCTTAAGATTTTCACGTTATACCATCAAACTTTTAAATAAATGTCGAGAGAAACAAAAAAAAAAAAAAAAATTAATAAAATGAAATGATATGCGCCGAATTCAGTATCGTCGTATCACACCAACAAAAACGATTTGAACATCGGTACGAATAATATTGTTGAGCAATCGGCCTCCATGTCAAGTCAATGCTATTCGAAGTAAGCATCGTCTTATTTTTACCAGTATATGACGATTGCAACTTCCCCAGATATTGCATGATACAGTAGGATTGAGACCATGAGGTAGTATTAGATATTTTTAAAAAACAAAAAAAAAAAACATTATATAAATGTAAAATAGATTAAAGTGGTCAAGCAATTACATATGCTATTAAAATCGAGCTATTTTAATAGCCGATTCACATAAATGAGGTGGGAGGTTTAAACCTAGATAGAGAATAAGTTTAATAGTCTCTTGGAATAGTCATTGTTGTAGTATATAATCAATGCCATTTATAGGTAACAAGACTTCTTGACGCAGTAAGCGTGCGGCGCAGCTATAAATCCTTTGATGAATCGCAACGTTTTCAATTACTTGATTCAATCTTTTCAATTATTATGCATATAAATGCGAAACATGATGTAAGGATTATATATAAAAGACCTTTTATTTCAAATAGAGTTAAATTTGAAAAAAAAAATTTTTTATTTAGCAAATAAATAATTCTTTTTTAAGATATAATACTACCAAATTCGTTTTTTTCAATGAACCGTTCTTTCTCGAGATTTGCCTTCACGATTGTCTCATGAATAATCTGTTATCCTGATGTTTATTTGATTTCGGAGATATGACAACTGCGTTAGTTTCGTTGATCCTAAATTAATAGAGTGATGGTTGAATAAATCAGTTATGTTACACGAAACACATTCGCACTCGACAACTTTTTTCCAAAATTTTCGTAAGGAAACCAAACTCTTTAAAATACGCCAAAGCCGAAATCTGTTTCTAAAATTATGTCTACGTCCTCTTTTTGAATAAGTGCCATGATATCATCCTGCACTCGGCAAGCAAGTCACGGAGGTTTCGAGATAGATGATATCAAGGATAATTATTATAGGGGCTCTAAGGTCATCCGAAAGAAAGTAGGTGTGTACACGTTTAATTATATCTTTTCGTTTCGTTGCATATGAAAAAGTCTGTGTTGACATTGTTCATTTGGCCGGAGGCGTTTGACCTAATGTAAAAGATCCAATATAAGTATGCGCATATGCCAAATAATGATTTTAAATGTCGCACAACGTTTTCATCATATTCAAGTTTCTGGCAAAATGGTCGATATTTTCGCTTGAACTTCATTGAGATTCTCTTAATAGAATGCTCTCGCAGTAGGTTGAGGATTAAGCTAGAGTGTTTAGAAATTAAATGAATGGATAATAAGATTCTAATTATACTATTAATTTCCATAGACTGGCTGGGCAGGGACAACAAACTTAGTTTTTAAAAGATTGAAAAACCGAGGTTGAACTGTTTTGTGCACGTCTTGAACGTTTTTACATGTAAAATATCATTAATTCTGTTAACAATAACTTGAATACACTTTATTGAATTGTTGAGGATAAAAATTTGAATATTTCTTGTTTTACGCACTAAGCGTACTTGAATAAACTTTTTAGAGCCTGAAACAATGTCAATAGTTCATTCACCATGTGTGAATATCAAATCTTTATATTTCAACGAACAACCTATTCAACATAAGAGAAAGTCTTTGTGAAAAGGTTTATTTGAAGTCAAGTAATTATAGGAGTTTATTTATATGATGTAAGCTGTTCTAAATTTCGGAATCATAACAATTCAAATAAGCGTGTGCAAAGATACTAAGGCAACCCAATCGAAAACTAATTGAGATAATGCATGGTATGCATCAAACAAAATTGTTCCGTTATTAACCAAACTCATTTTATGAAATGATTATGGCAAGTGACAATGCACTAACTGGACTTATAACATTATTGTAATTTCGGGCTTATAAACTTTTAAAAGTATTATTTAAAACCAAATAACTAGACTTATAAAAGGTGTCAGCGAAAAGTCTTTGAAAGTTCTAGAAAATTGCGAAACAAGATGCGTAATTTGTACTAGTTGTTAGCCTGAACTGTTGAAACATGTTTTGTAAGGATAAAATCAAATATACCGCGTGAGTCATAACTGAGTTATGGATGTAGTATATGTACTTTTAACTATTAATACTTACAAAATTGTCTGGATTGTATGTATAGCTTGCATATTATTATTCTAATTCATTTTTAAGGTAGGTTGATTATATGGGATCGTTTTCAGTAAAGTCATGTCATGAAATATATAATAAATCCGTAAAGCGATTTTACTGGCAACGTTCCTATATTTAGGGTAAGTGGCTAGAAGGAATCAAGTATAAAATTTTAATTTTTAATTAAAACATTATATTTAAAAAGAAATTTCTTTTTTACAATTTGATCCTTTTCTTAGCACTCATCCTATATTATAGAATGTTTGCTAAGAAAATGTAATATTGAAAATTTTGATTTATATTAATATATAAATTTTTATAGAATTTTAACTTATATCAAAATAATGAATAATTAATTAACATTTGAAATTTTTATAAAAAGATATATTCTGAAAATAATGAATGATTGATTTACTATTTAGAAAATGATCAATATAATTAACTTTGCAAACTACTAGAAAAAGTCAATTTACTTTTATTTATAATAAGAATGACTTTAAACTAAAATATATTTAGATTAAGTATTAATTCCCTTATTTTATTGTAAAGGTTTATATTAATAAATTAAAAATAATGATATTTATTATTTAATATTTTAAAAGATTTTAAATTATATTAATCATTTATCATTAGTATCATATAGTTATATATTATATTATTATGATATATAATTATAATATTATGTATAGGAAAATATATACACTATTCTCAAGAAAGTATCTAAGCACAGTTTTTTTATAAATTAAAGCTTAAATTTATATAATATAAAATTATTATTTATATAATTATATAATACATATTTTAGTATATTAATTGAATATATTTTATTTTGTTTAAAACTACTTTATGTATTATACATTTATAAATAAATAAAACTAGTTTCAATTAAAAATAATCTTAAGTGTAATAAATTTCATATTTTATAAATTAATTTAATGTATATGATTTAATTTTAATCAAACATACTTTGATAGAAATTTTCAATAATATGAATATGATAGTTTAATTTATTTCTATATTTAGTATCTTATTGTCTGAAGTAAAGCATAGAATATTATACTTTTATGAAATATGAAAAATTTAATTACATAAGTATTTTTATTTATCACGTTGCATGTACGATAAGATCAGTAAATAGAAAAATAAAAACAAAAAAATAAAAAATAAAAACAAAATATTAAAAATAAAAAATTTCACTCTGAACTTAAATGGTTTTTATTATCTAGTAAGATATTTACATTTATATATTCTAATATTAATTAAAGTTAAAGATTGTATTTTATTGTTTTATAAAAAAATTTCTTAATATATTTATCAAAAATTAAAAAATAATATTTTAGATAAAATAGAGAAAATTATTAATAAAGTTGTTAGTTCAAAATTTATTAAATTTAAAAATAATAAATTTTTTAGTATCTAGATACTTTTTCAGAGTAAAAAGTTGAAAATTTATATATTAGAAATTTTATTAATTCTTAAATAATTAGTTATTATTATCTTAATAATTTTTTTAATTATGTTTTTTTTTTTTATTTATTATTATTTTTATTAATAAATTATATTAATATAATATTATATAAGTTAATTATAAATCTTTTAACTAATACCTAATCTTAATCCTAATACTACCTTTTTTAAGTCATAAAGTCATAAGTCATATAACTATATTGTTATAATATCATAAAGTCATATGAAATCACATGACTTATCTAATTTCAGCCAGCTTTATAAATGATAATCATAAATTAAATGTATAATGCCGGTCTAAATTAATTAATGACAAATGATATATAAAAGTCATATAAGTCGTATGATGTCATATGAATATATTTGAATATTCACAAAATAATAGTAAGTACTAACAGAACAGAATAAAATAATTTATTGATTTATTCATAAAAATGCACAATTATCTGAAGAAGTAATATATGTGAACGGATAATATGATAATAATTGTTTGGTTGGTCTCATCACTATTAGTTCATTTTTCAGAATGAATTATTAAGTTATGTGATTGGTAGAAAGTATTGCAAATCTTATTTATTTTGCAGGTAATTCTTTTATTTTCAAAGGAAAACTGGCCATTGATATTTGTGTTTATGATTCGCAATTTACATCATTCCACAAATTAACGTACGTTAATTTAAAATCTTGATTAAAAAGAGAAAACGGATCGACATTTGTAAAAATGCAACATATCATTTGGGGCACAGTATAGTCTAGTCATTTCAAAAAAAAAAAAAAAAAAAAAAAAAAAAGACTTCTTTCGGATTTGTTTGATGATATGTCAAATACGCAATGCATCTTAACGTGTTTTAAATATTTAATTTGACTAATGTTTGATAAAAGAGAACTTATATTATGATTCCTCTTTATTTATTTCCTTTTTTGGTGTCAGTCCAAGACTTAATTGACATGCGGTTAAAGAAGGCTTTAAGCGATCTGTTACGCTTAATGATTGGATGGGTATTCTTCTTTTTGTCCGGACAGTTACAAAATATATTGTAAAGCATGTTGGAAAGCATGAAAAAATTTCTCATGATGTCGAAAATTGGTCTTCCAAAAGACTTTGCTTGACTCGATTCGAGTTGAGTTTAACTTGAAAAAATGTTTATGACCAATGAAAAGATTTTGACACAGTAATAAATAATATATATATAAAAAAAAGTGTTAAATCGTATTCACCGGTAAAGTATTCAATATAACTAACGATCCACAAGTGAAAACAATCCTAATAAATTGATTGTGATAGAAATGATCATCACATTATTTTTGATAAAAGACGGTGAGTAAACTTTGTTAAAGGAAAAAAATTTTTTTTTCTATACTAATCATGTCAAGAAATTATTCAATATTTATTGTATTATGGATTTTAGTCCAATTATTAGTCAAAGTCGATTGCCAAACAGAAACTTTTATACCAATACAACGAATTCTTCATACTGCTACATTTATTGATAAATTATACATTTTTAGGTGGTTATAACGTAACTCAATCTGATGATGGTGGTGAAATTATTGGAAAACAATTTTTTGTGAATGCCACTTCAGTTACATTTGAGTTTCCTCAATGGAAAGATTTGACAAACATTAATATAATCCCGGCACACGCTGGCGCTGCGTCAGTTAAAGGCGTAGATAATAAAACATTGATTTTATATGGAGGGAGAACTTTCGAAAAAAATGAGAATATGAATTCAGTTTATATGTTTGATACATTAAATAATACATGGAGTACATACGAAGAAACTTATCCTCATAAGAGAAGTTTATCAGCTTTAATTGATTCTAATGGAAAAATGTATTTATTTGGTGGACGGGAGAATAATGGTGAAATTGTAAACAATATGCTTATTTTGGATACCGTTAATTTGTCTTGGAGTGAAGGAAGTTCACTAAATGCACCATATGCAAGAATTAATTATGGTGCAATTATTTTACCTAATCAAAGTATTGTTTATTTAGGTAAGCAACTAATTCCCATCATTAAATGTAAGTTAAGTTTTAATTGAATTATTTCTTAGGTGGCATGATGAGCGATAATAGTTCTTGTTCATTGTCTGAAGTCTATTTATATGATACCATCAATGATCAATGGGATACCAAGGTATAAGAATGTTAGCATCATCATCAAAGATTAATCCATGACTAATATTTTTGTTAATTATTTAAAGCAAACAGACATGGCTTTTCTGCGTTCCTTGGTAAGTTGAATCGCTGCTTGTTGAAAACGTGAAAAGTTTGTTTAAAAATATTATTGTTTAGGATTGGATGGTCAACAACTGATAATTTTCGGAGGAAGAAATCAAACTAATGAACAATTTAATCGAATTGATTCCCTTTATACTTTAAACCTAAGCAATTTTATGTGGAATATTCCAAAAGTTTCTGGAGATATTCCAAGTTCTCGTTCATATCATAGGGCAAATGTGATTGACAAGTATATGGTTATTTCATTCGGTAATTATTTTTTTTTTAAAAAAAAAAAAAAAAAAAAAAAAAAAAAAATATTAATATTAATTATTCTTATTATAAAACTTGATAGGAAGTGGTAAAATTACCAGTGATTTATTTTTGCTCGATATTAGCAATAATAAAGAATATAAATGGATTGAACCTAATAAAGATCATAAAACTAACTCGGTGATGATTGGTATGGTAATTGGAATAATAATGTGTATCACTTTATTATCCATAGGGTTTTTCATGTATAAAAAATTGAAAAGAGAATAATCCTGCCGAAAATATATTTGGCCAGGTCAAAAAATTACTGCTCTAATATTTGAATGTTTGAAACCGACAAAATTATGAAAATCCGATTTTACCCGACATTAAGGATATAAAAAAGTGATAAAATGAAACAAATCTTTTTATAATGTTTTTGTGTATTTCAAGAAAATAAGTTCATTTTACTTATTCATCAAAAAAATACTTTGTGATTGCTTCAATCTTATTAAACGGTAATTAAATACTTTTTGTTGTTTTCCTGATAAAAATTAAGACTATTGGACCAATCGCGTCACATAATCTTTTTAAACAGCGAGATGATAATATGTCAATTCTTTATCATATCATAAATTCTTTCATGGTAATAATACCAACTCACTGCTCTTGTAATACGTTTAAACTTTTTCATAGCTGTGGTTTAATAGGATGGGAATAAAAAATCGGCAAATTTATAACTTTTTAATTTTGGAATTTTGCTGAAATTAAAATTTTAGATATCCAAACATAATCTAAATTTCAGACGAATACTGTAGAATTTCAGTTTCTTCTCGAATAATCCTACTTAATATATATACAAAAAAAAAAATTAATATCTTATTATACTGATGCGATTCAAACAATTTGTAAATATCAAAAATCAAAAGGCACAGTGGGTATCAAAAAATCACCAGACACAAAAATTAAAGAAATTGCTCTTTCAAATTAAACACTTTTTTTTATTTAATTATATCACTTTTGGTGAAACATGTAAAGTTGTGGTCAGATCATACAGTTTTAATACAAAGTTCAATAATATTAAAAGATATACGTTAATGCGATCTGCCCCAACTTTAAATTGGGGGCAGATCCCGAACATAACTATAATAAATCACGTGTGGCATTGATGTTTGAGATGCTCCAAGTTATCTATTGAGGCAATTTCAACTTGGGGCTTAATTTCCAATTTTCCCCATTTTTAAATTGGGGCAATGGTCAACTTGGGGTAACACATCAATTTACCCCAATTTTAAATTATCGTGTTCTCAGTTTCTAGTTTGCCCCAATTTTTAAATTGCATCATTGCCCAATTTTAAATTTCACGTTGGAAGATACTTTTACCAGTCACATGCAATGATCAATTAATAATACTTTTGTAGGGGTTGTTATCTAGAATCTGCATCACGTGTAACTGGTAACTTGTCAAGACGATCTATTTATTTAACTGAAAATCTTTTATTAAAATGGAATATGACGTTATTAAGTACTTATTTTAATTTTTAATTATCTAAAAACTTTTGATATCTACTATAATGTACTGTAATAACTACATTTTTACTTTTTATATATTTTACTATTATATTAAAATACTTGAAATTATATGTATAATTTTATTAAACTATTTTTTTTCTTTACTTCTTTTATATATTATATTTAATTATTATTATTATATTCTATAATTAATTAGTTTTAATACACTATAATTATACATATCATAATAAATATTTTATCAAAAATATAATATGTAATTTTTAATTACTTAATTAATTAATTATTATAAAAATTATGATTATGTATTTATTAAAAAATGAAAATAAATATTATAATAAATATATATATATATTTATAAATAAAATTTTTTAACTATTAAGATTTTGATCTAATAAACTATTTAAATCAAAATAGCTTAAATTTAAAAAATAATAAATAATCATATTGTAATTATGAAATTGAAATATTTAATATATATATATAATTCTACTTCACTATAATATTTAAATTTAGAATATAATAATAATAATTCAGAATTTGATGATAATGTCTTAAATTATGAAAAGAATTTGATAATAATATAAATAAAATACAAAAAGGTAAAAATTTATTTTAAATTTATGAAATCATATGTTAAATTAGCAATTAGTTTTTTTACAAATTGTATCTATTCTCAAAGAGATAGTAATGAAATAGAAATTGGATAAAATTGTTTAATATAATATTAAGATATTCTAATTATAATAGTTAATTTTAAATATATTTTCCATTTAAAATCAATTTGTTTATAATTTTATATAAAATTAATTATTTTTATTAAACATAATAAATATAAAAAAAGATATTATAATAGAAATATTACATATTTGTTAAATTATACTTTTACATAATTATATATAATTATCATAATATGTTTAATAATATTATTATTTTTTATTTTTATAAAAATTGCTTATTATTTTAAATTTTTTTTAATCTAAATTTTATTAATTATATATCTATTTAAATTAAAAAATAAAATAATAATTTTTTAATAATTTTATTTTATAATATAAAAAATTAAATTTATTTATATTTTAATAAAAGTTTTATAATAAATAAATTAATATTTTATTTAAAAAATTAGAATCTTATTTATCAAAATATTTTTCAAATTTTAAAATTTATAATATAATTATAAATTTTATAAATTTTATATTTATAATTAATAAGATTTTATATATATATATTATTTTATTTTACTTGTTTAATTTTTATAAAGATACAGTATTATTAAATTCTAATAAAATATTATTTTATAAATTATTAATAAAAATTTAAATTAAAAAAAATTATTTTATATTAAATAAAAAATTAGTCTATTTATATAAGTAATTTATTTTTAATAAAATAAATAATTTTATTTATTATATATAAACTATTTATAAATTTTTAAAATATGAAATTTTATAATAAATAAGAATTTATAAAATTAAAAAGTAAAAAAAAACAATAAAAAAAACAATAAATATAAATACTATTAATTTAATAGAAAATTAATTTTTTAAATTATAATTTTAGATTAATTAATATAATCAATTGTTAAAAAATAATTATATTAAATAAAAACATAAAGAATTCTAATAAAAATAGCAAAATAATTTTAATATATATATATTATTAATATGCTTAATTTTATTTAATAGATATATAATAATAAAATATATAGATAATTAATAGTAAAAATAAGAAAATTGTAAAAAAAAAAAATATTTTAATAAATAAGTTAACTTAAAAAATTTTATTTTAAAGTTTTTTCTCTTTTTATTACATATTAATTTTTTTATTAGTATTTTAATATAATTTTTTAATATTTTTAAATAGAATTTAAGTTTAAAAGTTAAAAAAAAACTTATCTTAAAAGATTTTTTTTTAATTATATTAAATATTAAATATTTTTATAGACTTTGCTAATTTGTTTCCTAAATAAAATCATCTATATAATATTTTTCAATTAATTATTAAAAATAAAAATAGAAAAATGTAACAAATTATGATAAATAAATTCTAATCTTAAACCTAATTCTAATAAAACTAATTCTATACTTAGACTTAATTTTAAATAATTTTAATTCTATAAGTAGATAAATTTTCCATATAATCATCTAGGTGAAAATTAGCCTTTATCATTTTTATATTATAATCTTATTAAATAATTTAATTAAAATTATATAATATATTTGTATTATTTTATAAATAATCATTTAAGATTTATTAATATAAATAATAATTTAAATTCTATTATAAAAATAAAATAAATATAAATTTATAATAATTAGTAAACTTTTTATTAAAATTAATAGATATTTATATTATAATAAGTTAATATATTATAAAATTTTTATATTTTTAAAAAATATAATTTTATTTATAATTTAAAGAATTAAAAAATTATTAAAATATTGATATTAGTATTTATTTTATTAATAATTTAAATTTAAATTTTAGTATTTAGAAAATGTTTTATTTATAAAAATTTTTATAATAATAATTAAATATATATAATAATTATTTAGATTAATAACAATTTATAATTATTAATATTTTTAGCCATATATTAATAAAGTATTTTAATTAGCTTAAAAAAATTTAATAGTATTAATAAAATAAACAATTGTTATTTAATAAATTAATATTAAAATATAAAATTATAAAAAAAGTTAAATTCTTTGAAAATTTTTTATTATTTTTATTAAGTAATACTTTATAATCTAATTTTCTATATAAAAAAAAACAATTAAAAAAATTTATTAAAAAAGCTAATTATATTTTAAATTTATAAATTAAATTTTATTAAAAATATTAAAATTTATAATAAATATTTCTAAAAGTTTTAATTCAATATTTTAATAAAATATTATTAGTATATAATAATTATAATAATAGTTAATATAATCTATTATCCAAAGTTAATATTTAATCAAAAAATTTTAATTAACTAATTGTTTATCTTATTTACTAGTTGACTAATTATTTAATAAAAAAATTTAATTATTATATAAATAAAATTTAATATTTTAGTTTATTAAAAAGTTTTTATTTAGTTAATTAGTGTAATTTTACTTTAATTTTTAATTTTAATATAAAATTCCTTTATATAATTAATTTTTTTATATTAATTTATATATTTTATTAATATAAATATTATCAATATATTTTATATAATTATATTAATTTGAATTTTTATTATTATTTAAAATATAATAGAGGATAATTAAATACTAAACATATCAAATGCAATATTATTTTGTTTTACATATTGATTATCCAATTGAATTCCATGTTATTAATATCATATTAATTGTATTTTATAAAAAATTGAATATTAAAAAATTCAAACAAAATAAAAAATTAATAAATTATGATTTTTATTATAAATCTTATTTGAAATTATACTTTAGACTAAAACAATTATTATTTTCTAGTATTAAAAGAATTTTATTATATTTTTTATTATGATTTTAATATAATTTAATTATTATTAAAAGATTTTATCTTTTATCTTTTATTTATTAAGTATATTTAATAATATAGCATTATTGAAAATTTAATAAGTTTTTAAATTTTAATTTATATACATATATAATTAAATAAAAAAAATATTATTAGAATGATTGTTAATTTTAATTATTTAAATAAAAAATTTATTAATTAAAAAATGATTATTTAATTAATTAAATTTTCAAAATTAATTATGTATACTTTTAAAATTAAACATTTTTTATTTACTATAGAGATGCTTAAATTCTGATATTAGTAAAATTATTAAATTTTCAATTTTAAAAGTTAAGCTAATATATTAAATACTTTATATTTGTAAAAGATAATTTAATGATTATATAGAAGAATCTATTAAAATAAAATTTTATAAAAGTGAATATAATTTAACAGTAATTTGGATAGATTGATCAATATTTATTAATTATTTGATTTATAATTAAGAAACTATTAAAAAATTTACAAAAAAAATGATATAATAGAATAGCTAGATGTGATGCTAGAATAACTGTTATAAGAAATTTCTATCAGATAATATTTATATATAGTTCAAATGTTTTTGAGAAGCAATTTCAGATAAAATTATTATTAATTCTTAAAATATGTGAAATATCAAATTCTTTAGATAGATCAAATGAAAATGCAAATAAAATTGAGATGAAATTTTGAATATTATAGATGTTAATAGTAGTAATATTGATAAAAGTAATAGTATTAATGATAATATTAGCAATAAATAATAATAATAGTAGTAATAATAATAATAGTAATAATATTGATAGTGATCATTAATAATAATGAAAGAAATATTGATAGTAATGAATTCTTTTAAATTAAATAAATAAAAAATATTGAATTTTATAAATATTTAATAAATCAGATTTATTTTAGCTTTTATTTTATTTTTAGATACTAAAAAATGTGATAATACTTATTTTTAGATATAAAAAATAAGATGGTACTTATTTTTAGAAAATGTTTATTTTTAGAGAAATACAATAATTTAAATTGATTAAATTAGTTAGTTAACTGATTGATTAAAAAACTATAATCAGTAATAATTACAAGTTATAACTTGGTAAAAATGCAATTGTTTATATCTTTATTATATAAATACATATAATATAAATATTAATAGAAAATTAATAAATATACTGTTAAAAATATATAAATTATATAAAGAATATAAGATAAAATTTTAAAAAATTTTTAATGAAATTAAATTTATATTAACTTAAATTTAAATTAATATATAAAATTAATTTATAAGATAATTAATAAAAAAAATTTTAGGTTTTTAATAAATATAAAAATATAAAAATATAATATAATTAAATATATAAAGATTATAGTTTTAAAATAAAAATATATAATTAAATATATCTTTATATTTATAAAATATTTATAAAAATAATATTATCCTTTAGATTATAAAGATTTACAAGCAAGTTTGCCTGCTTATTTATTATAAATTAATTTAATAAATATATATTATACTATAGTAATTTTTATTTTTCAATTATATAATAAATAATTTAAAATTATTTTTAGCTAAAAATTTGTAATTTTTAAATATTTTTATATTAATAAATTTTATCATTGATCTTTGAAAATCTTATTTAACATTTACTTTTAACAATATTAATTATAATAGAATATTATAAAACTTATTATGAAGAATAAGTTTAATTATTATAATTTTTATGATTTATTAAGAAATTTTATAACTTTTATTATTAATAAAGTGATTTAATTAATTTGTAAACATATCAATTTTAAAGAAATTTTTAAAAAATTATTATAATAAATTATTTAAAAATTGAATTATTTAAAATACTTCTTAATAAACTTAAAATTTATTTAATAAAGTTAAATTAAACTATATTTTTTTCATAAAATTACTATATTATTAAAATTAAAATTCAATATTTTATTAAGTTTACAGGCAAATTTTCCTGCTAGACAGTCTAAGAAATAGATTTTTTATTTAATTAAAAAGGTTAATATTAAAAGAAAATAAAAGTAAAAGATTTAAAAAAAAAATCTAATAAATTAGATTTATTGATATTTAATTAATCAATGATGAATAATTCAAATTTTTTTTTATAATCTAAATCTTTTACTTTAATAAATTTATAAATTCTAAATTAATTTAAGTTACTTATTATTAATTTAAATTTAATCAAATTAAATAAATTAAATCATATAATTTAATAAAATTATGTTTTATAACATGATAAATTTAAAAAGAATCTTAATTTGTATTTTAAGTATAGTATATTATCTTTTTTATTTTAGATGTATTAGAATAATTTATTTATTTATTTATTAATATTATTTTCTATAACATATTTTCTAGTTTTTTTATATATATTTAAAAATTTAGAAAATTAAACTAACAAAATTATCACTTATATTTGTTTTTTTTTCAATTTTCAGTATAATCTGAGCAGTTTAATTTAATTAAAATAGATTTTAGAAAACTAAATAAAATTATTTAGAAAGAATAAATATATTAAAATTTTTATATTCTTATCATAAACTTTGGTCAATGATTCAATTTTTTTTAAAAACAAATTCAGATGATGCATAAATATCATTTTAATATATGGATTAATAAAATATACGATCACGCGATAAATAACAAAATCATTCATGAAATTCTCAAAATTATAGAGTCATGTGATAAAAGTGGCAATAAAAATTTGATTTATTCTAATTTATTATTCGTAATGAAAATTCGAAAATGAAATAGAATGATCAAAAAAAATATTTTTATGCTCATATTATTATGCAATCACATTAAATTAAATCATTTTATCATATAATAAAATATTCTATGGATTTTTTTCTCACTTGTTCATTCAAACTTGTTCATTTTTGGTTTTGAACCACGTTTGAGTTGTGAAAACAACTTTCCAATTTAAACTAAAATAAAAAAAAATGCCATTCATATTTCGGTGTTTTCAATCATTTTTTGTATTATGTCTGTATTTCTTGCTTGGAATTATTCTTGCACCTTCCGTTATTATCGTTGAAATTGTTTTAAAGTGTAAAATGTTATGGAACGTTTTAATAGAAGCCAAAACAAAGTGTATATATATTTATTCATACGCGTCATTTGTATTTTATTTTAATTACTTTAAAAGGAGAAAAAAAAAATAACAGATGTATTTATTTTATTTCCCTTTTTTTTGGTTAAAGGTTATCAAACCATCATCAAAATTCTCTATCCATCATCCTTTCATAATCGAATAAACCAAGCACAGAGTAGGGATAATTTCACCGAAACCTTTGAACAAGTGATAACTGATGAAGAAAGAGATTCTTGCAAAGATTCGACAGAAGGGGAACAGAGCGATGTTGATTATATCCAAAATAACGGGTATCAAGGTGAAGAAATGAATACAAATGTTAATGAAGTCTGGTATGTAAATATAAATATTATCGATTATAAGATACCTTGAAAATTTATATGGATTATTAACATCTCATATATTTGTTATTTCCTTTTTTTAAAATAAATAAATAAATGATAGGATTGAAAGGATGAACGAGTTGAGCTTATAAAATTTCTAAAGTCGGGTCTGATTTACAATTGTTCCAAACGAATGTTCGGTATCACAGCAGGAAGGTACACAAGACGCCGTAATTGTAAAATGTTCCCACTATTGTTTAATGAAACAATGAATATGTAACTTGTTATAAAAAAAAAAAAAAACTCTGTGGAGAAATATAACGAAGATATTGTGCTTTGTGTTTGTTATCTTTGTTAGGTCTGTGCGAAAATTCTCATGGAAAACACGCTTTCTTAACCAAGTAAATACTAATATAATTAATACATTCGATACATTTCGAGACAACATGATTAAACCACTAACACATCTTTTTAACTTGAGACTTAAAATTGGTTCATTTTCTAAAATTAAATATTGACCATCATAAAATGCACAATACTGTTCACAATCTTATTGGTTAAAAATGTCATTGAATCATTGAACGTGTAACATTAGCAAATAGACTAGTGTATTTTTTTTTTTTTTAAATACATTTTTGGATATTATGAAAGATATTTTCCAAGCGTTATTTACAATATCGATGACTATTGTGCGACTTTGTTTTATTATAATCAAAAAAAAGAAAATATAATCACTAATCCAGTTTTAGGAATCTCGAACTGAAATTAATTCCTTCCTTCCTTTCTTTCATATAAATGCCGATTTAAACGAAATTCCTTCATGTAAGTTCGCATATCTTTATATGTTTTACATGTTTACATGCGAATGATTTAAAGTTAATTTATCAACGGTTTAACGGATGTATGATCCGATTAAATGATAAAATTGGGCGTCTAATTGGTTAAATTACGTTGGGCGTCTTTTGTGTTATAATTTTATTTTAAATATTCGGCTTATAAACTGATTAATTTTTAATTTGCAATGCTTATAGTAATTCTTTATTATGCCCGCCAAATTAGGTTACTGCGCCGCCGCTTATCCGTTCGCTTATTTGACCTACTTCCAAAATAGGTTTTCAAATGTTAAAGTTATTGAATACAGAGATATATATATATATATAAAGTACCATTACAAAAAAAAAAAATTCCCAGAGCCCCAGTTCTCTTTCCAACAGTACAAGCAAGAAATTTATTATCATTATTTTTTTTTTGTGTTTTCGTCTTATTAAAGACGGTCCGTTCAGATAGAGAATTTATATATTTTTTATAGTTATTTGTAAATATAATATATAACCTAGTAGTATGAATCTAAACCAAAAAAACACAATGATTTCACCATCTAAATTATCCTTGAACTCTCTGCGAGAGATATTAGGATACTTTAATAACGACCCCACAACACTTTATTCTTTACTTTTTGTTAACCGTCAATGGTGTGATATAGCGATCCAATTACTATGGAGGCGGCCTTTTGAATTTACCTCACAAGAAAAGTACGACCTTATCATTGAGACTTATATTTGTTGTCTACCAGAAATGGAAAAATCCCGTCTTATCCTTGCAGGGATAAAAGTACCTAAAAATTCTAAACCATTTTACAAATATCCATCATATTTACGAAATTTTGATAGTGATAAATTTAATCGAGCTTTTAATTTATGGTTAAAGACGAACGCCGTCAATGTTGGTGGGATCGACCCTTTGAATATATTTTGTAAGCCTTTAAAATCTCTGTTTGGACCTATGGTCAGTAACAATTATAACTTGATGCCAAGTAATATTTTACACAAAGCTGTAAACAAGTGCCTTGAACCGATCGTGCAAGAATATTGCGCCACACACCCGAATTCTACCGTTATCAAGGAAATGCAAAGTTTAATATTCATTGAATGTAATAGATTAAAAAGTCTTACGCTCTACTGTGGTGAAGACAGTCTTCAACTAATGGAAATGATCGATGAATTGTGTGTGAAAAATCTTAATGCATTGAATTACCTTCAAATTTTGGAGTTGAATGTACAAACAGCACAAAATCAAAAAATAGATTTATCAACTGAACATGATATTTTAGAAAATCTCTTCTTAACGATAGCAAGGAATGCTACAAATATTCAGCACATGAAGATCAACTTCCCTCATGATTATAAATTTCCTCCAAAAGTTCACATAGCTTTATACACGATGATCGCATCACAAAAGAACATATCTTCTTACATGTCAAATTATTACTGGGATTCGGATTTTTCAATTCATTCGGCTCTAATGCGACAAAGTCAAACTTTAAAACGTTTAAATCTTTGGGGATTGACACATTTTGATGATTCATTATTTCAAGGGTTAATGAAATGGTCAAACCTGGAAACGTTAGAACTGGTTGGTTGCCCAGGTTCTTCTCCAATGTCATGTGGATTTTCTAATCGTCAATTAAATATAAAGAATTTACGAATTGGAAATGGATATGAAAGTAGTCCTTACATTCAAACGACTTTACTTCAAATGTGTAATACCAACCTACAGCAACTAATGATCGAAGGGGTCACACCAGAAATTCTTGAAGAAATTGGTCTACATTGTCCCAACATTACCCATTTATCTCTCTGCGCTTATCAAGATATTTCCAACACCTTACCAGCATTAATCTCAAGCCTTGATCACTTGAAAGTTTTAACCCTTGGACATCACGAGAAATTTCTTTTTACCAAATCAACCATACAACAATTTATACAATCAATCCCTCCTTCTTTACGATTTTTATCCTTAAATTTCAATATTTCATACGATTCTTTGAAGGTCCTTTTAGATGAATGTCAACCTCAATTTTATAAATTGGAATTACATCAAACAAAAACTTATCACGATAAATTTATAAATATTTTAATAGATTATACAATAACAACAAAGAATCAAACGGAAATTAAATTATTTATTCCCCCTTTTAATCTTGACAAATCTAGAAAGATGGTACAACTTTCTGCTCCTTTAGAAGTTGCTTCTCCAGATTTATTAAAAAGCGCTAGAAAACACATTAATATTTGTTATAGACAAGATAATCGAAACGTTTATAGTTTATGGTAGGGTAGTAAACAGGTTTACTGGTTGTCACATATTTCATTTATTTTATTTAACTACACTTCTTTTACATAATTAACACTTTTTTTTTAATACTTATTTATTTTATTAAAAATTTGATAATCACTTATTGATGTAAGGGGTTTTTAAATGGTTTGATATTTATATATTATACATTGTATTATAACAAAACACTTTAAAAAAAAATAAATCTCTATTTAAAATTGCACAAAAACGGATGGTTAAAAGATCATTATTTGCGACTATCAATTGTGTATGTGTTGCAAATAGTAGAGGAATTTATCAATTATCAATAAGACCCTTTTTAATTTAAATTAACTAATAAAACGGGAAAAGCCAAAATGCTAAGGTCCGAAAGTTGTGTAACGATTTTGTAGATCATTGAGCCAATCATTGTACTATTCCAACTCATTAATTTATTAGACTTTTTTTTTTTTTTTTTTTTTTTTTTTGTTTGGGAGCACATCTGCGATCATGTGAACCATTGGCGTTACTATGATATACTATTATCGGTCAGTAGTTTCAAAAATTAGGGGAACTAATTTAATCTAAATTTTGTACCCTAATTAGGTAAGAAAACTGTTCTGAAATCACTGAAAAATTCTATGCATATCCTCCCATGATTGAAAATTTTTAAGCATTAGAAGATGTTACGCGTCACGACGGCAACATTTGATGTTGTAATTATTACATACAGTAAACTAAAAATTTCATAATAAATTAAAAGGAACATTTTTATTTTTTTCTTTTAAATCAATTTCAAAAGAAATCTGTTAATGAAAATGAAAATCTCGACGGATCTTTCTTACCAAAATCTCAATAAACCAGGGTTGACATCACTTCCAATCGAATTATTTGAAGAAATTTGTAAATGCATCCCCCCATCATCACTTTACTCTCTAACTCTTGTTTGCCATCGTATTAGAAATTTGTTATGGTCATCATCATCTTCATTAACGCAACGAATTTGGAGAATATCTCGTCAAAAATTTCACCCAACGATTCATAAATCCATAACGTATCATTGTACAGAACAAGAATTTATTTGGAAAGTTTTGTTACATAAAAAATGTCAATTTTGTGGTAAAAGTTATTTATTCAATAATTTTAAAGAGATTATAACTATCGGAAAGTATTGGCCTTTCCAAGTAAATATTTGTGTATTATGTGTTAAAGATAAAACTAATATGTAAGTGATCTAGTGTTTAAAAAAGGAGAATCATCTAAAAAAAAAAAAGGTTTAAAAATTTATTTTTTTTATTCCACGTAGAGATGATACTACAGAGTTATTTCAAAAAGATTATCAAACATTGTTTTCAATCGGTTAATTTGAGGATTCAATCTCAAAGTTTTTTAGTGACATGTGAATTTGGAAGATCTTGACCAAAAAAATATTACGAAATTTCGTATTTCCGAATGGTGATAATTGCCATTCGTTTTTATTCTAAACTTTAATGTCTTTTACGATTTTATCATTCATAACATCTCGCAATATATTTCACAAAAGAATCTTGTTTTTTTTTGAAAGTTAATAAATCATTTTTAGAACCTATTGCTTTCTTCTCTCAAATTTAACATAACGCACAGATGAACCGTAGTTTTAATACAATATTCAATATTGATACTAAGATAAATGTATGATCTAACATCATCAGAAAATTTGGATTTGTTAACCTTCCGTTTAGATGAGAAGATATCGTATCCAAAAGGTTTGTTGTAAGTTGGCAACTTGAGATTGGGAATCGTTCCTACCATCGAAATCGAAAATCGAATTGGCTTAACGAAGTGGTTCGGCATATTTGAAGCATTTCAAGCTTGACTGAAATTATCTTATAAATAGAAAACATATTTCGCTCAAATTTTGTCGATCATTTCATATCTGTCAGAGAAAACTACTAGTCACGGGGTGAAATCCTATCTGTCACCATTATATGACACACCAGAGATAATTCCTTTATATTGATGGGAAAATTTACAGTTAAATTAAAAAGTTACGAAACAATATCTTCCTCATCCCAAACAATATAAATAGAATTGAATTATATGAATTTGGATCCTTGGTATTATTAAAATTGTGTTATGATAAACAATAATTTTAAAAAAGATTAACTCTAAATATCGCTAAATTGTGTACGATCGGAAAATGAATTTTTCTCCTTGATTTTGAAATTAAATTGCACGGATCCTCCTCATGAAATAAGAATGGTTGTATTACATGTTAGAGAGATGGCAACTAAAAAGAAATTTAACCTATCACGAGAACGTTAAAGAATTGCAATCCATTTGTTCTGTGAACAAAAATGCATCCGTCTCTCCAGAAAAAAAATAATCACGATTAAATCAAAATCCAAATAAAATGTCTACATTAAAGCCACAAATAAAGATTGTAAATAAAATAGTTGAGATAAACGATTGAATTCCTTGTATTACTTACTATAAAGTGGAAGGAAAAAAAAATTATTTTTTAACTTATCAAAAAAAAAATCAAATTAAATAAAATAAAAATCAAGATTATTTGCAAGATGAAGAAAATTTACCAAAAAAAAACAAACAAATAAAAAACAAACGATTTGATTGTTTTATATGAAAATGTACTTGGCTGTGCTTTTTTTTCACCTTTCACTTGTATACGATTTTATATTCCATTTTTGTCAAAAAGCCTCAATGGCACAGACACTGCGCATGTACGACAATATCAAGCCGTGTATTAGGTTTCTATGGTGAATCGCAATCTTGGAATCTAGATTAGTATCAAACGTGACTAGCAAATGAAATTTTTATATTCGTGCTTAAATAATTTTGTTTTTAATCGATGATAAGGGTGCCGTCTAAATATCCGTATTGAAACCATCTTTTGAGATTTTATGGGAAACAATCGCGTAATTTTATTTGGCAAGAAATATTTAGCGAAAATAATTCTCGCAAAAACAGAATATACAATAAAAATTAATTTTTAGTTTTGGTTTTAAATTTCAATGATTTTTTTTTGTCAAATAAAAAACAATTTTAAAGAATTTTCATATACAACCCAAAAAAAATTAAATATATAACGCGTATAAAAAAAAAAAAAAAAAAAAAAAGAAAAAAAAAAAAAAAAGGAATTAAAATTAAAAACTAAAAAAAAAAAATTATTCACAATTAATTCACATTTTCTATACAGCGAAAAAAAAAATTATTTATAAGGGTTTAGGTAAATATTACAAAGTTAACGATGCCTGGATTTCTTTTGCAAATCATTCCATTGCTTTTGATCCTCCAAATAATAACGAGATACTTCGGCCATATATTTTTTATGTTGTTCTTTTTTTTTCAATAACCAACTCGAATAATCCTTTCCCTTCAAAGAAGAATATTCTTTGCTTATTGACTTTACATCATCAATCCAATAATATCTATGAACAGGCACGGCGAAAGCACCACCTCGAATCCATACACACGGCAATGTCTCTATTATTTCAATTTGTATATCTGCGGATTTCTCAAGCTCTTCATAACTAAATCATTTGAAAATCAAAAGTCATTATCAAAATCATTAATTAATATTAATAATCATGTTATATAAAACAAATAATTTCAAAAAAAAAAACTTACGTTTTGGTTCTTTCGAGTAAACACTTATCACAACAACGAACTCTAAATTCCCAATATAATCTTGAAGATTCTGGATCACGATTTCCGCAAAATTCACAACTTTTATCAAAATTTGTAATCCGAATGTACTTTTCCTCTTCCATTCCTTGTGGTGGAGATAATTCAGGATAAGTTAAGAATTTGGTTCTTGAATTACGCCAAATATTTTGAGATATAACTGAACATGGGGTACACAAAAAATTTCGATATTGTAAACAAACAGTCGATAATTTGAAGATGTCAATCGGTGTCAGGTAATCGCATATTTTAGCAAAAATTTCTGGTGGTACCGAAGTAACGATTGGAGGTTGTTGAGGACGCAATGACATCGTTGAAGGCGATGATAATTTTTGTTGCGGTGATGAAATATTATTATTACCCGGAGACGTTGTCGGTATCAATGTTCCAATGGAGTTTGCTGGACGAATAGATGATGATGAAGTGGATGTGTTGGCTGATTTCGTCATCGTAAGACTCATAATAAATTTAAAGTTGGAAATCTAATTCCTTGCACTTCAATTCAGAAGAGAAATGAAATTAATGCGTGGTCTTTTACAATATTTATAAACGAATATTTGTTTATAAAGGGGATGGGAAAATTAGGGGAATCACTTATGCAAAGTTACGTACATTTATTAAATTATTTTTTATAGTTCAAAATATTTTAGGTTTGTTTTTTTTTTTTAATTTTTGCAAGGAGACTTTTTGTTTTATTTTTTTTTTTTTTTTTAAAAAAAAAAAAATTAAGTAATATTAATTAATAAATAGTAACTAAAAATAAGTTAGGAGAGAGACTAATATGCCGGTGATTTTAGAAAATGGAGGAAAAAAGCGCACATACACTCATTTATATATTTGGAAAAAAATTTTTTTTTTTTTTTTGAATTTCTCCGTTATTTAAAGAAAACAAAGGTAAGGCTTGACACTAACTTAATATATTTAATTGGTGCAGTAAGCTTTTTTTTTTTTTTGTTTTTTTTTTATTTTTTTTATTTTTTTTTTTTTTACAGGCGCTTTGCAACAATGTGAGCAAAAAACTAGTATCTTTTTAAATTGATTTTTGCGGTGACACCAGGTCATCGCGACATACCATGCAGGCTTGTCGATTACAGGATTACAGGATGATAAAACAAACAATGTAATTAATTTTTGGTCATATATATTTAATAATATGAAAGGTTTTTTTCTATTCCGAATTTATGGAGATTAAATTTAATTTTTTTTGTCAGGTTTACTTTTTTTTTTTTTCTGTTAATCATATTTTTTTTTCATTTTTTCATTTTTCTCAACAAAGAATTTAAAAAATTTTAAATTTAACCTCTTTTAATCAAATTTGTTTTTTTTTGTTCTCCGTTTTCTGTTATCAACATTAATAGATGATAAATTTGGGGTTAAATACTTGTGAAGCCCCCCCCCCCCCCCCCCCATTAATAGAAAATGTTTGAAAAGGGTTCTTATTTTTATTTTATTTTTTTTTGTTTACACATAGTCTAAAACAACCAAAATAAACAAAATAACAAAATATGTAAGGAAAGAAGTACACATGAATCGATATCTAAATTTGACTTTTGTTATCAAATAGTGTTTGACACCAATATATTCAATGACAAATTGGGAGAAACACAACAGACAATAATAATTCCAGACAATCCTTCCTTTTCTCGATATTTGCTTACCAACTGTCATCATTTACAGTAAGCCAACATGGTGAATAAATGTCATAGGAACACATCTGTAAAAATGAATTTGATGTAACTTATCATCTGAAACCAGGATAGGTTTAGCTGCAAAGTATTGTCCCTAATAAATTTTTTGTTCTGGTGCAGGTCCAGACCAAAGGTAAACAAAAACAATTCTGCATATGATTTTTGGAAATTGATGTTTTTATGATAGATGATGATGGTTTTGTCTTATAGGATATGTTCCCCTCATCCCTATTTTCACCATTTGTATAACCAAAAAAAAAATTTTGTTCTTTTCTACAGGTTGACAACTGGTCTGATATCTTGAAATGAAGTTTCATATTTTACCCACGATAGCACGGGACGAAAAACCGGTTCCGAGTTATTGTCTTAATCTGGTATAGTTCTCTTAAAGTTGACAGAGTGGCGCAATCCACTACCAAGTCATGTAAAAAGCCTGAATCACTTTTGGCAGTAAAGAAAAACCGCGCCTAAACTTGCGAAATCAATACATCCGTGGCGAATTCTTACAACATCGCACACATTGTTGGTCAAGGGTAATTTGCATTCCCCATACATATATATTTATCAATGTTCCTAACTAATTAAAGTATACATGCAGGGACAAAATCGTTACAGTTTAGTCACATTTTCAATCCAAACCTTTTCAGGCTGCATGAAATTGCGCTGGTTATGGTTATGTTGGTTTTGTTGGTTATGTTACTTGCACAACTAAATCATGTACATCAAGATTTTATTATTAATTATTAATATAAGATGTAATAATCTTTTTTTTTTATTATAATAATTATTATTAGTATTATTATAATTACATCATTTTAAAGGGGATTTGAGATTTCTTTCATAAAAAAAAAAAAAAAAAAAAAAATATTGGGGGGGAAAAAGAAATATTTTTCCGCAATTCGTGGCTTATTCACCTAAATGATCTGCCGTATGTTCTGTGTGTTTATGTGTGTTTACGACTTGATACATGACAAGAGAGGGCACGACAGATTGATCATGAGAAAAATAGCGCACAGCCAGTATGAGATATTGTACATATATCATCATTTCATCATTTCAATCTCTTTTCACTCTCATTCAACATTCATTCATTATGTCAATAATTCTGGAACACCAAATGTGGAGAATGTCTATATATAACCTCATTGTTGGGACGTGTTCTTCATTTTTTTTCTTCGCATGCTAATTCATTCCCATTTTCTTTATTCTTTATTCTTTTTTTTTTAGAATAGTTGTAAAATTTAAAATATTCTGAAATATTTGAACAATAAAAAAATGAATTAAAATAAAATATTTTTTTCATTTCATTCTTCTCTTTTAGTGCGATACCGTCATTACATAATTCGCGTTTTTTAATTAAATTCTATGAAATCCTGATAACAAACCTGCTAACTCATGTATGTATAAATTAAATAAATCCCTTATATTAAAAATTAAATTAAAAAAATTTAATATTTTTTTTTATTTTTTTTTATTTTTTTTTTGTAAATCGTATTGCAAATGTCGATCCGGTAAAATTTCGGCGCAAAGTTCTATTCATGGGAATCAGAACATATTTTTTGCTTTCAAAAATAGGATTTGTAAATATAAAAAAAAAAAAAAAAAAAAAAGCATGTTTAGGTTTTGAATTAAAAATTCAAAATCAAGTATCTACATTTCAACTCCCATACTTAGTTCACATAAATATTGTTTAGGATGTTCATATGAAATTTAAAAATATTTGTCATTGATTGTAGGATATTAATGGAAGGAGGGTCGTTATGAGTGATTACAGTAAAAAAAAAAGAAAAGGAAACGTGTGCCAAGAAAGAGTTCGATAAACCAATTATTGTTGGTATTTCTTCTGATTGGTTCAACGACCCGCAGAACCGCACATGGATGGAATAAACATAATAATAATTGGGTAAATATTTATCTATAAGATTTCTTGAATGCATTAAAGGGCAATTGCGTGCTTGTCCATGTTTCACGGAATGTTTTTTCCTTCTCAATTTTCTTTTTTTTGCTTTGCACGAGGAGCCCTTCGTTTTTTTTCTCGTTCGACCCAAAAAAATCTAATTGCTGCGGAATTGTCCCCTTTTTGACAAGGTTTCACAAATCGAAAGTCCTCGTGATCCCATTGTTTTACCCCCTTTATACTACCGAAACAATTTTTAACGTGATTTTCGAATTTTGATCCCGAATCCATTTGGCATTTTTTTTTTTTTTTTTTTTTTTTTGCTAGCGCAATCGGTGACCATGTCGTACAATTTCTCGTCTCCTGTATTTTTCATAGTAACAACTAATAAGGAACTTTCGAAAGTAGGAAGAATAAATAAATATCTTGTGAATTTTTGATGATAATGCTTTAATGTTTATTTTAAAATATATTTAAATGAGGTGGATGAAAAAAAAAATTTTTTTTTTCCAAACCAAAAAACGGTTAGAAGATAGTTGCTTTAACCTCAATCGACTATTTTGAATCCTGATGGATAATTGATAATCGACAAAACTTCGTAATCAATCTGCTATCATAATGAACGAATGGGGACTTTTTTTTAATGAAATTTTATTATGTATTTACAATACAATAACATAAATACAGTAATCTATATCTACAAACACAATGACGTAGATGTCTTTCTTCATGACGTATTACGGTGTATACCGAACATATTTGTTCCGGTTGCCAATAAAATAAAATCATAAGCTATCACGCCACCAATTAACATGATGGAGAGAGCCCCAAGTCCAATCGCCATCTTCACTCCGTTGATGTCCGAGATCCAAGGAAACGCTTTAAATAGGTCAAAGTTACCCTTCTGATTATTATGATTGTCGTCACTAGAGATAAGCGAGGGTTGATGGTGGTGACGAAACCTCTGGCGAAAATGAAGATCCAGCGGATCTACATTCGAATCCAATTGACTATTATTATTCAGGGTGATTATCGGGGCGACTACATGCCTTTGTGTAGATCTTCCCCGTTTCAAACTATTACGTGAGATTAAAGAGGGTGGGGCCGATAAATGTTGTTTCTCAATGGATTGATGATATATCGTTAAGCCGGCGGTCATGGCGTTGTGTGAACGAATTCCACCAGGAGTTGAACAAGGGGAATCACGATTTCCATGTAAGACCAGTTGCGGTGTTGGGATATCAAGAAAATTTGGTGAAGGAACATGATGATTATATTCCCGTGTCTCGAGCTCATGTTGCGCTGAAGTCGTCATCACCATATCGAAATAATTTTCTTCTGGATGATTTTCCGGCATGATCCTTGGACTAACCTTGGGACTAATTCTTGGACTGACTTTGGTACTTGAATGATAAGTTCGTATGGAGAAACTAGAACGAATGGATTCGTGAGATTCCTTTCGTATGGGATTATTTTCAAGTAATTGAGGAGGTAAAAGATGATTTTCATTAGGGGAAGGCGACCTTATAACGATGGGTAAAAGGGATAATTTATTCCCATTATTATTATTATGATTATGATTATAGTCGGTCAATATAATGCTTGTAATCGAAATTTTATCGGACATGACTGATTTCTTCCTCTCCGTTTCCATGACGTGCTTTTCGTCGCATGTTTCAACTTTTATGATATCCGGATCATTTCTCAAATCTGATCCTTTTGTGGTTATGTAATACAAGTAGAACGGGAGGATGAAATTACATGAACTATTGAATATCAAACTGGTCCAATTCATGAACGCGTTCAACCAAAATCCAGTTTGGAAAGGGATGATGATTACCCAAGGTAACGCGCACGATAGTAGATTCGCCATAACTAGAAAAAGGTTTGTGATGAAATAAAAAGAAAAAGAAAAAAAGAAAAAGAAATTAAGTCATGCTTGGGATTTATTTACCTTTTCCGCAATAACCAGCTCTCATCAGATTATATCGAATAATGATGGTGTAAACTGGGATGCTCGTAATCAATACGGCCAGCGGAAATAGATAGGTTGTAATGACGCTGACAACGGACTTTTCGCTTGATTCATTGATGGTGGAAATAATGTTTGAGGTTGATTCCATCTTATAAGCCATTCCTCCCATGATTCCTAGCAAGAGATAAATCACCGTCGATATTAATAGGGAATACCAAACGGCCTTTCGAATGGGAACTGATGGGTTTACATCGTTAACCCAACTTGGAACCGTCATGATGAACGCGTAGTTAAACAAAACCGTTCCAACCACTTGAGATTTGTCGTATCCAACCATGGGAACGAGCTCCGTGTTGAGTCCATGAATGCCGAACGTCACTAACCACGTGACAATGATGAAGATTAATGTCATCAGCGATATGATTTGCACTTTGATGTTTTCCACGAGGTCCATAATCCCCAAAGGAACTGTTATGCAAAGTGCAATCTATGATATTATTTCAACAAAGGTAATGGAAATGAACGATTTGTTTTCCAAGAAGAAGGGCGTAAAAAAAATATATTTCGGTTCTTACCAGATAACCGGCGGTGATGAGCATATAACGTTCTTCAAATGGACTTCCTTCCGCCTTATGTTCATTTACGCAAAAGAATCCGGTATCGGGATGAATTCCAATGCCACAAGTTCTTCCAATTATTGAAATAACTAAAGAGTCCATCGTTTGAGATGATAATATGATTGATGCTATGTTTATCGATTGCATTGAAATAAATAATCCTGTCTGAACGAGTCGTTTTTGATGTTTATTCGATACAATTAACGATGAAAGGTGAGAAAATTCGACTTGTTTCTAAAAAGCATGCATCGATTTGTTGTTGAGAACATTACACTTGGGCGATTGAAGGAGAAGTATGAAGATTCTTACTTGGAACTTGTTATTACCGGGTACTGCACTTAACGCTTCACATAAAAACAAAGATGCTGCGGCACCTAGCACAATAGCCATAACAAACGTAATAACCGGGCTACACAACAAAAAATTTCCATTAAAAAAATAAAAGGTTCAAAAAAGTTTCACAGAAGTACATTTACTCACATTAACCATCCCGCCATCTGAAAAAGTAACGGTACTTTTAAAAAGCATAAAATTATATATATTGTCAAACGCAAATCTTAAACAAAGGTGAGTTAAAAGGAAGAAGAACTTTGTAAATTTTCAACTTACTCGTGACGATACCCGGACCTGTCATGGACGATACCAACAATGCGACGCTACCCAAAAATGAAATACCACCTTCATTCGCCATATTTATTTTAATTTTTTCTAGATTATGGTTTATTATTTATTATGAAAATATTCTACAGAGAAGTGCGTTAAAACGAAATTTCAAATCTTTTATTTATTTATTTAACCTTGATTTTAAATTGAATGCGTGGCAGGTTCTCTGCGCAAAGAATTTGTTTGATGGAAGTACAAGGATAAGATTCTTGTGTCTTGTTGTTTACATTAATTTGAATTCGCCGAAAAAAAAATAAAAAAAAAAAACTGACAAGGGTTTGATTTGTTTAAAATATCATGAACAATTAAACCATTTTATCAATGGTATTGTGTAATAGTCTCTTCCAGCAACATTAAATCATTTCAAAGTTTAAACAATACAAATAATATGGTCTTTTTCTTTTTTTTTAAAAAAAAAAGAAAAAAAGAAAGCTATTGAGTATATAAATTCTTTATATTTTACAATTTCAAGCCATGAGGCTTGACGATTTGGCTTAACCTACTAATTTATTATCTTTTTACATAGCCGTTATCTTCAATGTGTCAAGAAACGACACACTGTGAATAAAAAAAATGTTTTGATATTATGTTAATTATTGAAAGCGAATATCCAAAAGGTGGAAATTTTTTTTTTTTTTGTAAAGCTGAAAATTATGGAATCGTTTCCTTGGATCGGAAAATGAAAATTTGTTCGTTCCTCG